CAAAAATAAAAAATGAATTCGTTGAGTGTATTTGTGTGTTCATGTCTGTATTGCTGCGTCGTACTAAGTGCGCTGGGTGACGGAAATGGCCGAAAGCAACAACGGCGGCAACACCGTCGGAGATGAGTTCAACGCAGCGTCAGGTGCAGCGGCAACTGCAGCAACAGCAACTGCAGCAGCAACAGCAACAACTAGTATCAGAGGCAATAGCAGCAAGAACAACAAGATAAGAGTTTTTTTCCCGTAGTTGCAGTTGTTTCACAAAACTTTATTGTAGCATGTTTGTTGCTTTGCACCATATCCGTTGTTGGTGTTGCTGTCGCCACTGTTGTCGCGACTGGTGGTGCAATGCTTCAAGCCATACATAAAATCATTTGTGCCACCCCGCCCTCGAGCATTGACTAATGCTGACACCCCGGCAACATGAAAACCCAGCACCAACATCGTCAGCAACGTGCCGAACATTACGACTGTTGTGGACCATTAAGTTGACGTTTTTCCGTTGCATTTGCTATTGACATTCGTCCCTATGCCATCGAGATGTTTTTCCGACTGTCTGTCGAGGGCGTTGATAGCCATCTAACTGGGCGAGCATCCACCAAGCAAAGTGGAAAAAGGCCACAGTTCCGCTTATCTACGTCCACCTTCAAGGTGGGTGGGCGGTAAAGTGGAGACGGGCAAAAGACCTCAGTGCACATAAAATCGATTTCTGTGTTGGCCTCGGGGTGCAGGAGGAAAATCAATTTCATTCCCAATGGAATAATCTAATTTTTATTACCGCCGCATAGCAATTCGTCACTTGCTTATTTCTTTACATACACAACCACAGATAAGGTTAAAAACATAGCAGTGGCTTATAAATGATCTTTCCCAAAAAAAGAATAATATTAAGAAAACTTGTTTATAAACAGACAGCAACATCAAACAAAATAATATAATTTCAATATAAAAGCCAATTTACAATTTGATAGGCAAATTTCTGAAGCTTTTTCAAGCAATAAATAAAGAATATATCCGATTAAAATACGTTTACATTTAGTTAATACCTTGTACATAAGAAATTGCACCTGCTTTTGAAATGCTGTTTTTTGTGTGTTACTTTTGTTGAAAACTTTTAAACTAGGAAAGCGTTTTCATTTTTCGATTGCCGGTGCTATTGTTTTAACCACATCTGTGCACACATAACTTTTATCTTGTATTCCACCATTTCTCATCTACTAAATGCTGCCGGATGCACAAGCTGCAAAAACACCGGCAAACAGGATTGCACATTTCTTTTATGCAGTAATCATTTGCGGCACTTTATTGAATTCCGAGCGGTAGTGGCAACCGAAAGCAGCCCGCACAACAAGCTCCGCCTATTTCCGCCCTCCACCGGCAGGTGTTGGCTTTCCGTACCTGCTCCCAACATCCCTGGATGGCCTTTGCTTGGCATTTTTCCGCTTCGATTTTTATTTGTTATTCCTTTCCTGCTTTGGCTTCTTGCTTTTGCTTCGTGCTGTTTGCTTTGCTTTGCCCGGCCAAAAAATTGCAGGAAAACGTTGCATACTTAAAGACGAAAGTCAACCACAAGGTGAATTCCACCATCGACATCCGACATCTTGAAGGAGCTAGTGTGCCCAAGTTGGCTTTTTTTCAGAAACTAGACAATATAAAAATTTGTCGAGCTTTTTTTAAAGTTTGTTTGATTGTAAAAATAGACGTAATTATGATGTATGCATTTAAGTTTATTAGAAATTTGCAGCAATTATGGGGACCGTCCCAAAATGTTACCTGCTGAAAATGTTAAAAAGCTGTTTTAAGTTTGTCAAGTACAATAGCGTTTTTTTTGTCTAAGTTTTGATTGAATTCGAGGGAACTGCTTATGTAAAGCTAAAACACGAATTATTGGTGTGACTCACAGGCAATAAACTGTCTCTTCTTTATTCACATATATTTGAAAATTCCAGATAGTTGAATTTATATGGAACAGCTGACGAACAGCTGACAGAATCCTGTCTATGGAAAAATTCGAAAATATATGTTTCGCTTATAAAAATTGCATTATTATTTTCTTATTATAAAACAGTGAGGTTCACAATTGATATAATTTAAGATCTTGCGTTATGTTTACTTTGTTTTAATATCATTTCGCTGGATGCATTTTTTTCGAGCTAAAAATATGACAGCACTTCGTGTGTTAACACTCAGGGAGCGGTAATCTTGGGCAATCTTAATGCGGATATATTAAACTTATTTTTACAGCATTTCTTTCGGCGATGAGCCGCCTCCCCAATCTGGATTCTTTATTTTCATATACTGTGTATTACTTGTGCCCGCGTCCTGGTGCCTTCCACATCCTGCCGGTTCCTCAGATTTGGAAAGCGCGATAAACTTAATGCTTGGCAGCCCCTCCCACCGGGCGCTTTTCAGCACTGGCAGACAGACAGTAAGTGGTGCAGCGGGTGGTTGTGTGTGGGTGGTTGGATTGCCAAGTGTATGTATTTTGCAACTTGAAGCGCTTGCCACTTCCGCTGGTGGTCTATAAGAAAACACTTCGCTTTGGGGATACATCTTTTCGGATGATTTCCATTTATTTATTATTTTTTTTTATTTTCGGATTTTTCTCAGTTATTTTAGTTTTACTGCTCGGAATTTTATTGCACAAATTTTAATATTTATTTTTGCTGTTGGTTTATTTTGCACTATGCCTGGAAGGCTAAGCCAGTGTGTGAGTTGAAGTGTGTTTGTGTTGGCTTTACCCCCACATCAACAGAGTTCCAAAAGCGGGATGCCTTGTTTGCTGTCTGCTCGCGTTTAGTTAACGTTTTTCTATGGCAGCTCCATTTTAATGTTTAACAAACTTGAATGGCGCAGTTGAGAGCTCCAAACAAACAGAAAGAAAATACAAACGATTCCAGCTCTATTTCACTTTTGCTCACTCTTTGTTTTTCCCTTGTTTTGTCCGAAAACTTTTGTGGAAATTATTTTAAACTGTTACGTGGTTTTTTCTGCACTATTTTCCTTTTTCTGCTTGTGCTATTCTCAAATTTAGCAGAAAATACCTGTTTTTTTTATTGGATCCAATGGGAACTTTTGCCACTCGGAATTAAATAATAATTTGAAGACATACTTGCTTATGTTTTATTCTTAGTTTAGGGATTCACCGCCGAGTTGTAATACAAAATAATCTTTTCTTTACAGATATGCACATTGTGTTTGAACTGTTCCTCTATGAAAACTAATAAACTAGCGAAGGGGAACGCTTAACTGGATTTAGCCTTATATTAGTGTTTTAAAGCCAGGGAAATCTGGGCCCAGGTGGAAGTGGATACATATAATTCATATGCTGGTACTGTTCAGAATGGTATTGCTTTTCACGCTGATCTTGAATAACTGGCCGGGCATGTCTCACATGAATTGCGGGCTTAAAGTTTATGAAACTTGACAAATGGCTATAATGATCACCAAAGCCACCATTTGATGCGGGCCTGATCCTTCGAATATTTAATAAGATAAAAGAAACACTTATATTTGAATACATACTGTTCTCCATATCGAGGATTAAATTTAAGATTTCTCTCATCAACTGGTGGTGGACTCCCATTAAGCCGGAACGGGTTGACCTCCATCATACTCGGTGGCGGATGAGCTGGTGTGGAGTGCACGTTAATAGGACGATCATATGGAGGACTAACGGTCAAAGCCATTATCATATGGCTAAAATTATCATTTCCGTAAAGTTTTACAAACTGCTCAACGCTTTCCTGGCAAATTAAATAAAACTCGTTTAAATTAAAAGGCAACTCTTTATTAGTGTAATCTTACATCCGGACAAAAAATTCCGGGAAGCCGCACGCCGCTGTATGCCATATTTTAGTTTAAAATTTAATTTGAAAATAAAAACTTTGTTAATTTTGAAATTATAAAAGCAGAAATTTAGAGTGGAACTGATTTGTTGTCATGGAGACGGATGATTTTGAGTTTATAAAATTGAATTCATTTTTGACGCAATTCACTTGGCTAAAATAGATTTTAAAATGTTTATAAAGTTGTATTTGCACACGGTACACCCAAAAAAATACGCCATACTTTTAAATGAAATAAATTTTTCGTTCGCATTTTAAAGTTGTACTACGATCAATTAAATAAATTTAATTCTCTCATATATATTACCTTTATTAAATTAAAACCATTCTGGTGACCTTTGGGTGCTTCGGGCCAAGCAAAGCGTTAAGCAGTTGACAGGCAATTATTGCACCCATATATGGCCATCAACTACTCGGCACATTCGTTTCATTCTCCGTTTATTAATTTACGCTGAAAATCCTTATTACGGCTGCCACGGTAACCTCATTACAGGCGACTTATTGTAAATAATTATTTGCGGCTTACAAGCATTTTTTGTGCCCTTAGCGTATGCGGAATTTATGAATAAATCATTTGATCCGCATTCGCCAGCGGCTGTCCTGCTTTCGAGTTGATGACCTCTTCGCCGGATAATATCCAATATGCGTTTCCGTGGAGCCGCCGATTCGCAGGGCAGGTGCTTGCTGTTGAGTTTTAATTAATCGAGAACTCATAAAAATATTAAAATGGAAAAACGCACAGAGCTTATGCCCATATGGAAAAGGGCCGGGTCATATCGTCAAGAGTCGATGACGAGTGGGAAATGGCGATGCATGTATTATTGCCCTGGCATGTAAAATGAGCATGAGTGGCATGAGCGGTCCAAAGGCACAAAGGTCCTTGCTGTCTACAAAATATTAAATGAATAAGGGATTTTATTTTTTGTTTTTTTAATTAGAGGAAATTATGGCATATGGCATGGCTCGAATTCTTCATTCTAGAAAAAACCATCATTGAATTATGAGTATTTTCATAATTTATCCAGAGTTGAGTAATTAATATCCTGTTTTTAACTAAATTAAAATAAAAGCCTTTTACGATAACTATTCTGTCTGTTTATATAAATAACACATTTTTTGTTTATCTGTTTTTAATGTTAGATACCAACACATAAAAGTAATTTTAAACACCTAACGTCTTTAACAACACTTATTGATAAAATTAAAGGTGACAACTCTACCTATTATCGATTGTGTCTGCTGTCATTAGGAAATACACATTCTTTTCTGAAAAAGTTTCAGTGGACGTAGTTCTTTTTTTACTATTTTACCGCATATAAGTGGAAAGCTTTCTTATGGTTGATCCAGATGCACAGCGTTATCGCTTAAGTCTGCGTGGTTCGTATAAATAAAAAGTGATGTTGTCAGCGAGTTACTTTTACCTCTTTTTTTTGTGTTAGGCTTAAATGAGGAAAATTCGAGAATCTTCGATAATGGGTGAGTTGTGGCTATGGCAATTTGCAGGCTTTAGGTAAGCCCAATTAATTTTCTAGGTGCCCAAGGAAAGAGTCGTCCCCCAGCGGTGATGAACTAGGCAACCCAACTGACCGTAAACTGCATAAGAGCCGTTCCCGTACCCGGCGACCAACGTCAAATGGGGCTGTGGGGAACACAGGTCAAAAGCCCCTTATAGAGCGGTCGGAGGGGGCACGCTCCTCCACCTCTTCGGGTTCCGGTTCCGGTTCTGGCTCCAGCTCATACTTCAGATCTGGCTCCAGCTCAAGGTCCAGTTCTGGCTCCAGTTCTGACTCCAGATCTGGCTCCAGCTCAAGCCCCAGCTTTAGGCCCGAGGTGAGATCCTCCCAACACTCTCCAAAAGATGTTGAGCACTCTGCAAGCTTGATCGTTAAAACGGAACCAAATGATGAACGCGTGGATGGGGACGAAATATTGCCCTCAAAACAAGCTGATTCAGTCTCGATGTCCTCTTCTAGTGACTCTATAACAATCTTATCCGACAGGGGAAACATTTCACCAATAGAAGTCGTGGGTAGCTCAGAGGAAGAACTGGAAGGAATCGATAAAAATCGTGTCTTAAGCGACAGATCTGGGCCTTGCTACAAATCAAGTGGCAGTGTATATTCATCACGCTCCTTGAAAGACTCCCCAATATCGAACTTCAAGGACAAGTCATTTCCTGATAGCCACGGCATAAAAGAAGAACCGAAAGGAGATTATAATGACAAGATTATAATGCCCACAGTGTTTCCTCCGATTCCCAGTTCAAGTGGGAGTGTTCCCTCATCACTATCCATGAAACCTACCGAAATATCGAACTCCAAGGACCAGTCATTTCCTGATAGTCAAAGCTTAGAAGAAGAACCCAAAGGAGATAATAATGACAAGGAAAAAATACCAATTTCTCCAGTTTCTAGTTCAAATGGCAATGTATTATCGTTGCCCTCCAGGACATTGCCAGACATTCCAAGTCCATGCTCAGAAGATGAACCGACCGAATTTAAAGGCAAGATGGAATTACTGCAAGACCTATCAGATTCTTCCGACTGTCTTCATATAAATTCCGATCAGCAGTCAAGTGAAACAATAAATTTGGAAAGACTTCGCAATGAATCGTCTGAGATGGAGATTTCCTTTAGCAGCGAGGAAGAAACTGGCCAACCCAAAGAAAATTTGGAAAGACTTCGCAATGAATCGCCTGAGATGGAGATCTCCTTTAGCAGCGAGGAAGAAACTGGCCAACCCAAAGAAAATTCAATTGATGATAAGTACCGGAAAATCTTTGGAGACAAGTTGACGGGCAAATTCAAGATGTCCGTGCCAGCTGATAGTAGTGGACTTCTTGGAGGTCCGTCTCACTTCTTAAAGGTACCTCATTTCATACCACTGGAATCCGCAGCCTACAAAACTCAGCTATTTGAGAACCGCATGACGTCAGAAGATCTGAAGGACGAGCAGTCTCGCGAGGACTTCATTAACCGGCTCAAGACAACAATGAGATGGCGGGAGAACCAATACAAGGTGATGGAGTCGAATTCGAGGCTGGTTCGCTGGTCCGACGGCAGCGAGACCTTCCATGTGGGCGCCGAGGTCTTCGACGTGTTGCACCATCCGGTGACCGATCACCTAAGCCATTTGTATGTGCGCCAGGAGACCTGCTACCAAGGCCAGGGATTGATCAAGGACAAGATGACGCTGCGCCCCAAACTGGACTCAAAATTCGGACAGAGTCACGTTCAAGGCATGCGCAATCGCGCGATGAATAAGCCGCAAACAGGCTGTGTCAAGGTGGTAATGGACATGGGCGTTGATCCCGTCCAGGATCGTGAGCAGCGCGTCAAGGAGGAGCTGGCCCAACTGCGAAAAGAGGAGCGAGAGAAGTGTCGCGAGATGACTCGCAATAGGCCACGTGGTCGGGAGTTTGGTGCCAAAGCTAAGAACACCCAAGGCATACACACCAACCGCAATACGGCCACAAAGCCAGCGGATCTCGATGAGCAGGATAGTGATGGGGATGGAGATGTAGATGACTCAAACAAAGAGGATTCAAGTGAGGATGAGGCCGACGGGGAAATGTCCGATGAACCCAGATGGAGCACTTCCAAGGCCAAGGAATCGGATTCCGACGAGGGTCCCAAGATCAGATGTGTTAAGCGCAAAACGAAGCAGTTGTTCTATTCCGACTCTGACTCCGATTAGTTATCCGCTGTACTCGAAAGCGTAATAAATAAATGCATTATGCATTGATAATTAATTAACAATTTTCCGAACCACCCCGTTGGGCGAACAGCCATTACCGTAATTAGTGGGCGTGGCACCAGTAGCACATATTAGTAGCCGGCTCGGCCATTGCTTAAGGTCACAATGGGGTCGTGATTGCAGCGAGGAGCACTCTAAACCGAGTGCCATTGTCCGACTGCCAAACTGGCCGGCATTCCAACGCCCAAAGCAATTAGTGGGTAGGTGCACTAGAGTGTTGCCTGGTGTTTTTGGGAAATTGGGCTGCTGGGTGGCTATTGTGTGGGTGGTTCTGCAAGTGGGTGGTTTGTGCCCAACTGCGGTTGTTAGCGCAGTCGGGCTCTGCTCTCTTATTACAACCTTATGGTTCTCAAGACCTAAATGCAGTCTGTACCAGACCAATTCAAAAGCTAGTAGCGTATTGAAATTAACAGTTAAGTTTAAGCTAAATAACAAATTGTTTTTAATAAACTTCTGGTATTTTTGCCTGTTTTTGCGTACCATGGTACTTTAAATTGCGTGGTAATATTGCCATTGATGCCTGACTTTTTAAGTTAATACCAGTCTGAGCGGCTTTTGATCTTAAATCTATTTTAATTAATAATAAGCTCGACACAATTGATTATAGTGAGCATTCAACCATTAATTGAATGGATGGTGTTACTTGTATTTGCTCACTTAACCGGTGGAATTTGATCAGAAGCTTCTGGAGCTTAAGAGCTTCCTTGCCAAGGGGAGCACAGTGTTTCATGCTTCGAAGGCATATAAGGTCATTACAATGCTCTTACTTTGCTGTTGCCCTTGCCGGAGCAGTGCATTCGAATGTAACTGAGATACACCTTAAAATGCTATGGGCCATAAACTAAACTGTCACGGATTTTCGGGTCGGGTGGAGAATCGAGCAACCACACGACACGCCTGTAGGCCAAATATCTTGCACACATATTTGTCGACAAGTTGGCAAACTGTGCGGGCTAAAGGTGGCAAGTGGGCGGTGGCATGTCAGCCTTTGTGCTAATGCAATTTAGTGCCTCCTGCAGCAAATGAACCTTGATTATGTGTTTATTAGACACCAATTTTCGCCTACTGCAATGTTGCGATGTGGCCTCTTCTCCGGCGGCTGCTTTTCATTTAAGCTGGCTGGCGTGTTTAAATTGCACGCCATTGTCATAAGCATCAGCTTGTCGGCTTACCTGCATTTACGCAGGTGCATTTTTATTTTCTAAAAAGCAATAATTTCGATAGGGCTGATTAAAGAATAGAAACTTGAGAAGTGCACCTATGTGCTCTATCGATTTTTTTCGAGACATGAGGTTAAGTGTCCGATTTTATTGAACTGCAATGGCTTAACACATTTTCAATGGTATTCAAAATGAACATAAATTGATGGCAATGATTTAGTGAACTAAGGGAATAATACGCCATTGAATAAAACACATTGCATTTAAATATCCTTGACTTGTAGTAAAAATTATATTAGATGGCGTAAGGAACGTTATACAACTAGTTAATTGAAAAACGTTTAAATGTATAGTAAAACATTTAGTCTTGGTAAACAAAATAATAACTACCACATTAAAAATAATAACCTCAATAATGGTTAAGCTTTAAGTATTATAATCTAATAAAATTATAAGCAACAAACTTTTTACGATCGACCCATGTCCATATCAAATTTCTAACTATGTCTGATGAACCAGGAGGACCACTAACAACCGTTAACTAGATTCACTCATTAACCCGAAAGTCTTGGCTTTATAGCCATTTACATATGCAGGAAGGTAATACTTGTTGGCCAAAGCAAACACAATTACACTAACGCACTCAAATTTATTTACAGGACATAAAGTAGACACTCGTTTTCGCACACACACTCAAGGACATGCCGTTGAACAACCGTATCCTGTTAGTTTACATACCTCAAAGGCATTAATTATTTATGAAGAGACAGGCTGAAATAGAAGACACTGCGAGGGAGAAAGAGTCGAAGATAGGCCGACGAGAGCGAGATAGGAATGTAATAAAATTACAGGCAAGTGCTGTAAACACGAAAGGTTTTGAAATTCAAGCAAGTGAAAGCGGTATTAAGTTTGCTGGCCGTGACAACTGGCAAGCTGGCTAACTAGCCAACAGTAATTAAAGGCTATAATAAAGCTAACGTTTCTCGAGAAAACAGATGGAGGAACAAGGAGACTGTAGGCACATGTCAGTTGTCAACGCAGCAATTTGACAGGACCCGCACAGAAATGGCCGGATATATCCATTCCCACAAAGACAAGGATGGTGGAACTACAAAAACGAAGCCAAATGTTATAGAACAGTGCGAGACAGAAATATTAATAACATTGTATTTCAGACATATAATGCAAATATAAAAAAAAGCAAGGAGTAAAAGAAATTATAAAATTAATGAAACTTAGCCAATTCTTAATATAAAAATAATAATGTTGTTTTATTGGTTTTTGAAAGCAACATTACGAGCTTTTAAAATAGCAATTAAATTGTTTAAGTATTAAAGGAATCATCGTTTTCAATACAAACTAAATAAAGGTGTTCAGATACAATTAAACAAAAAAAAAAAAAGTACACTTATATTTTTATATACAATCCTAACAGTATATTTACCATTTATTTTAATTTATTAAGAAAAACAAGAATAATATAAATAATAAGGTTAAGTTTTATTGAATGTTAATAAAATTGGAGTTTAAATGCTTGCGAAATTAAATTAAATTAAAAAAAATATATATTTTATTTTGAAGAATCTTCAATAATATTTTCCTAATTCAGGGCTTAGATTTTATGTCTTGTGGCTTGCATTATAAAATTAGTGACATACTCCAACGTGGCAAATAGAGAGCGGATGGGAAGGGCGTAGGCTCTTTGATCCCCTGGGCGACTTCAAACCATTTCAGGGCCACTGTCCCTTGCTGTTTATGACAGTTGCTGAAAATTCACAGTCTCCCATTAACCACAGCCAATTATGCTAAAAAGTCTTAATGCGTATCTGCTCTTGTATTAAGCTAATATTTGCCTAAATCAATGAACGCTTAGGCAGCGGAACTATTCCATTCAATGTTATTATATTTTACAGGCGAGATGGTTTTAATGGCATTACCATGCAAATGTTTGCACACAGCAAAGAGTCTTTAAACCGAATGTGTATGTGTTTTAGGGTCATTAGTTGAATATGCATTAATGTTCATAAATAACTCTACAATTAATGTGAAACAGGCGGACTAGCCACCTCATAAACCCTCGAACACAAACACCCGCAATGCATTTAAGCGGTTTTCGTTGATCACATTTGTCATTAAAGCCGCATTCATTGAATAAATAATTTACATAAACATGCATAACTGTAAATTGTAAATCTGCTTGATTTGACTAATTGTTGAAATTGATAGCAATCATTGATAGATTTGCAGTTTGTTTTTAAGAAGAATTAAATAGTTCTAATGTTTTGGGTTGCATATATTAATAAAATATACAAAATTGAGAAACGTTTTTTATATATTTTAATGCTTACTCATTATTTGTTTAAAAATGTTCTGTGTAAATGTTTTCGAAGAGAAAAACATACTTTTTGAAAATGGAACAATATGAAATGCAGTCGATTTAAGAAATATTTATGAAAAAATAAATGTAATGTTTTTTTTCATAATAAGATTAATAAAAAAGTGCAACACATCTTTTGCATATATAATACAGTATTATAATACAGTATTATAATACTGTATTATAATACTGTATTATAATACTGTATTATAATACTGTATTATAATACTGTATTATAATACTGTATTATAATACTGTATTATAATAAGGTATTACCTGTCAACACCTGACAGCAAAATTGATATGGAAATGAGGTGATTAAGCTATTCAATAGATATCTGCGTCTTTTCTAGCTGGTGAGATCTTTGTCCTTCAAGAAGAAAATTAGATTTGGACGAGGACGAGAGTTATTTCTCATTCTCCTTTTGTTAAGCTGCTAAGTCATAAAAACCATATTTTATGCGGTTTTGTTTGGTACCTAAGCTTAAATGTGCTTTATTCCGAACTTTTCGAAAATATATGTTTCGGATTGCGACCTCACCTAGAGCCATTAGAACTTAGGTGAATAATTGGTCCCCTATATTCTAGAATTCGAAAGGTAAAGAAAAATATAGCACTTTTTAGGGAAATTTCTTTTGTAGGCGCATCGATTCAGGACTTTTTAAATGTTCAGCTATTTGTAAACCTTTTTAAAATGCTGGTTTACATAATGGTTTTGTCTTACAAAATGATAGATGATATAGATTTTAAAATATTTTGGTTATGGTTAAACTTCGCCAAAATTATGATAGAAATCCTCATTCTGTGTTTTGTTATTCAATACCCCATTAGTCAGTTTAGATATTTTCGGGAATTAAGTTTTGAAATAGTTTTAACTAACAAGTTTTACAATCTAAATAAAACGGTGAGTTGATTTTTTTTGTATTTATTTATACGATAAGTTATACTTTATTTTAGGTGGAACTAAAACTAAGAAAAAAATTTAAAAACAGCTATTTTTGTTTTAATTTTTTTCCGATTGTTCCTATGGGAGCTATATGATATATTCGTCCGATTTTGATGAAATTTAAACCGTAATTCTGAAATAATAAACCATTATTATATGTCGAAGAACTAAAAAAAAATGAAAAACAGAAAAGTTATAATTTTTTTTAAATTTATTTTTCCGATTGTTCCTATGGGAGCTATATGCTATATTTGTCCGAACCGGCTCGTTCCGACTTATATACTACCTGCAATAGAAAGACAGCTTTTGGGAAAGTTTCATGCAGATAGCTTTAAAACTGAAAGACTAGTTTGCGTAGAAACGGACGGACAGACGGACGGACAGACGGACATGGCTAGATCGACTCTGCTAGTGATGCTGATCAAGAATATATATACTTTATAAGGTAGGAAATGTCTCCTGCACTGCGTTGCAAGCTTCTGACTGAAA